AGAAAAAAAGTGGTTTGTGGGGATTGGATCATTTTATGTAGAGCTAGTCTTTATTTGCTATAAACTATAAAGAATATAGAGCTAGTCTTTATTTGCTATAAACTATAAAGAATATAGAGCTAGTCTTTATTTGCTATAAACTATAAAGAATATAGAGCTAGTCTTTATTTGCTATAAACTATAAAAAATATAGAGCTAGTCTTTATTTGCTATAAACTATAAGAGAAAAGTAGTTTGGGGGGATTGGATCTAGTCTTTATTTGCTATAAATTATAAAGAAAAAAAATGGTTTGGGGGATTAGATCCCATGACCTCCTAAAATGGAAGGTACAAGACAAAGTCTAGCAACCTACTGACAAAGCTAATTTATTAAAAGGTTTTGTTAGGCTACACCATTTGTGGTGTAGACCCTTAAAGTGCTCACCAGTTTTAGATATTTAGATACCCTTATCCTATAGTATAGTAACTTTTTGTTTAGGGGTATTGTAAATAATTAGTCAAGGGTAAATTAAAAATTCCTAATAGAAACAAAAGCATTTATTAACGATAGTGAACAACGACATCACCGATATGGTATGTGACATCACCTACATGATGCATTAATTGCTTTTAACTACAAATAGAATGCCACTATTTTCTTATAAAAATATCTATTCTACTTTCTAAATGACAAAAGATAGCCCTACTTGAAAAATTTTGTATTACAATTCAATAATATTTTAGTGTCAAAAAATGTTGAGCACTTTAAGGGTCTACACCACCAAGTGGTGTAGCCTAACAAAACCCTTTTAAATAAAATTTTCTGCTTGTTTTATATATATACTTATTTTTTCGTGATTTTTTTTATATAAAAAAAAAAGAGATTGACTCAGCGGAGGAAATTGGTCTCGGCCGTGTACATCTCCTCGTCCAGGGGCCAAGCACCGTGGCCGAGTCGATATTTTGAACCTTACTCTTCATGTACTTTCTTTTTCAAATGTATATATCAGTATCACCTGTTTCCATTAAAAAAATACATAGATAATTATTTTTAAACGTTTTAGTTTTAATTTTTTAATTTAATTATTTATCTCATCTATCTAAGATGGTTGGGCCACCCGCAATATGAGGGGGTAAGTATACCTTGCGTTGCACTTTACCTTGTTATGAGTGATAAACCGCTTTTAATAGTGCTTTAGCTCCTAGTGTCTCCCATTCACCTAGTGTGGGACTAATTCTTCTCACTATATTTTGTCTCACCATTTCTTCTCCTACCACCAAAACAAATCATCAACTTTGCGCACCTCCCTTCCCCCCACCCCTTCTCTCTCGTCTGTTTATTTATTTACTTTTTGTCACACTATTTCCCCTTCTCTCTATCTATCCCTTTTATTTATTTACTTTCCAAATGTTTTCTTCTGTCGTGGAGCAGACAACTAGTGTTGTGCAACAGGCTCACAATTCAAATGATAATTTTTCAAACTTTGTAAAACACCCTAAGCTAATCAGATTGAGGGTTAAGAATAATTGTCACCTTTTTGTACTAAGGGTAAATAATATTATAGCAGACAATTTCTTCTTGATTTGAGCTATTTCTATCTGGTGCCCTTGATAAACCCTTTTCCCCTTTATTTTATGCTTTATTTGCAACCCGATGCTGACCATCCATAACAATCGATGAAAAGCATGGCAGTTAAGTCGCTTTATGTGTATAGCTTTGGGAATGTTAGCCCTTGTTTTATAGATACCATCCTGGGTGTGCCTCTCTCTCCCTTTTTTGGTGGTCCACATATCTCAATTTTTTATTTTTATTTTTTTTGGATATATTAGCGTTATGTCGAGGCGACAATCTCCTTAACTACCAAAGAACCAACAATTGGGTTTATGTGGCTATTAAAGACTTTATGAGGGATTGTAATAAAAACATTTGATATAGTGGAACATGAATTCAGTGGGAGTGTGGTCCCTCGTGGACCATATTATACGAACAGTGTTTGCAGATACCGATCTGTGCTTGACGGTCTAGGCCAATCGGTTGGGACAAACCCATATTACCTAGGCATAAAATATAAATCGATAAGGGTTCTAATAGGTCATCCCTTGATGAGGTTGGAGTATGTCCGGATGAGTGAGCCGATGGACTATGTGACCATTGTGTATGATGGTGGCTTTTAGAGAAATAAGCAAAAACCTCATCCATGTACCATCACACGGCATGCATATTGATAGATCGTTTCAGGAAAACAAGTTACTTTTTAGGGTGAAGCGTGTGCATGTACGAGAGATACCCTTATGTATCATAGGAGCTGTAGTCGCATCAGGTCAAAGTGACATTAACCTGTCTTTAGGGAAAAACCTAAAATCTACAGACTGGGATTGCGACCCCTTGGCTCATCGGCCAGATCTTGGTGACCTGCTAATGAGCCCTTACTTGGACTGTGGGTCATGGGAAACACTGAGTCGGCCCGATAGAGCAAGTATGATCTGTAGTCCACAGTTGAAAGTAGAATGCCCCATAATTGTTGATTCAATTCGTAAACCATACGAATCTTTTTTCCATTAAACTAATTTAACTATGCTTGTTTTATGATAGAAATTATTTTAGAATTATTATTTGAATTTTTATAAACCTTTGGATATTTTATTTATAAAATTTAAATTTATAAAATTAAAGATATTGATTTTACAATAGTTTAAATATTTAAATAATATTCTTAAAATTCTTTTATTAAATTTAAATATATAAAATTTTTATGGGGGCCCATTGTGCATATGAGCCTACCGTATTTCTAGAAGGTGGGGCCCATGAGTTCCCTCATGGGTGGCACGCCCCACCCCCTTTGGATACTATTTTATTTTTAGTACTGGTCAATTATAACATGTGGTCAAATGAAACATATGACTTGAAAATCTATTAGACCAAATATTGACTTGATATAATTTTGAAAATTTTTGTGAAAGTATGAGAAGGCTTGTGTTATTGTATGAAATGCACAATATTTTGATTAAATAATTTATATTGATGAGAAAATGGTTTAAAAAAGGGGGATAAGGGTTCATGCACCTTCATAATGTTGATGACCCATCTATAAAATAGATGACTTAGATTTCTCACCCTACAAGTCACCCTTGATCAACGGTTTACATTCAATCTCACTAAAGAGACAAACTATGGGAAACCCTAAACCTAATTTTGTCATATAAATAGAAGACATCCCCTCCTCTATTCTCGACACATCTCTCTCTTATCTCTTTGCTCTCTCTCATAAACACGCCCCACTCTCTCTCTTCTCCCTCTCTTTAGATTTTCTCTCTCCTAGTCCATCTCTAAAGGGGCATGCCCCAACCCTAGGCTACCTCATAACTCTCTCTATCATCTTGATTAAACCTAAGGGTTGGGTAATGGGGGATATGCTAATCAAGATCTTTGGGAGACTGGATCTAGGTTCAAAGCTTGGTGATTAATAGGGAGTTCTAAGGTTCCATAGAAAAGTTTGGCCTACACTTGCTTTCCCGGTTGAGATTGAAGCTAGAACGTTGATCCCGCGCCATCTGATGGTGGTGACTTGGTGTGGGGTGCAGCAATAACCCCGGTTGATGTAATCTCCGACACTCTCTACTTTATTTATTGCAATTTCATCTTTATATTTTCTATCATAAGAAATAATTATTTCAATGGTATCAAGTTTCAAGATCTTAGTTTTATTGCTTTGTTGATTTTATGTTGAAGTATATGTTATTGTAATAAGACCACGTATAAGTGATCTTTGCCAAAACAAAAAAGGTGTAAAAAAAAAAAAAATTTTTTTATTTTATGATAAAAGATCACATTGGTCTTTCTTTATCGTCTTACCTGGGTTCTACTTACGTTGTGGAGAATAAAAATCGAGAACTCTCGACTTGGTAGCGGTGGGCACTACTTGGCCATCATCTTTTTTTGTTTTTGGACGAGTTAATTCTACACAATATTTACAAACTTTAATTTTTGCACGAGTTATTTGTACACAATATTTGCAAACTTTAGGTTTGATATAAATAGAACAATTTACCGATTAGCCTTATCCATTGGGGGTTTGATTCCCGTTGCCCAATATTTATAAACTTTAAGTATAACATAACCGTTAAAGATACGTTAGAACAGTTTACCGGTTAGCCTTATCCATTGGGGGTTTGACTCCTGCCTGTGAACTTTTCCTCACGTAACTTGCCTCAGCCAGATCCCGGATACCTTAGCTAGGGCTGGCAATGGATCAAGATCTAACCCGGGATCTATCGAGAATACGCGATACATGTCCAGGTATGGGTCCAAGCATTGGACCAGCGGGTAGAGCCCGAGAAAGACTCTCAAATACAAGTCTGGGTTTTAGTGGAACCACCCCATACCCGACCCAACCCTATACTCGAAGTTTACCCTTCAAGTTATCTTATTCATTTATAGCAAACCCTCACACATTCTCTCACTAAATTTTTAGATATAAGACTAAAAGATTTTCTCTAACTCGCAAAGAAACAACAATTTTCTGTCTTTTAACCCCTCCCACCTATAGATACCAAAAGCAACAGAAATTGTCTTTTACGGAGATTTAAAAGAGAGATTGCTGTCAATCATCCTCACCGTTGAGAGAGAGAGGGGTGCAGTTTGCATACGGATGCATCTGGGTGTAGAAGTACGGGGCACCTTCAAATTTTATTACGGTTTATAATTTTGATGTAAAATGTTTTTAGGATTATTTTAAAATTTATTTTTTTATCTAATTAAAAAATTTTAAATTTTAAAAATAGTAAAATCAAGTAGATCTATAAATATATACAAATCTTGAAAATGAATGGTGTAGAAAATATATTGTAAAAATGTTAGAGACTTATATTCTTTTTATTTTTCATATTCGAACATGTCATGTTGAGATGATCAATAAAATGGTTTTTCATAAATAAAACGACCTTTTTCGATAGATTTTTGAAGGGCATCCGCAGTTCTATGTTATAAGGTAGACCTTTATATAAACTTTTTCCTTCTTGAAATGACTCGTAGAAATACCAACAACCAGAGACTATTTTCACACAGTTACAATAAGAAGAGAAAAACGCAATTTCAACTAGATTTCTTCAGTTTTATCTCTCTACGAGAACCATCATCTTCCTCCTTGTGACCCATAAAACCCATGATGCTATTAAACACCGAAGCCCCACCTTCATGTTGCTCTGCAACTCATTCAAGGAGGCCATTAGAGGAGCTCACTGACCCTTCAGATGTGCCCACACATCCCTCTGTTCTGACTCTCTAACCCACCTGAAAATTCCCCTTCTCTCTCCAAAGACCCCATTTCCCATGACGCAGTTTGCCAAAGAAAATGATGGCCACAAGCAAAAGACAGTCGAAACCAACGGAGGCCTCAAAGTGCTAAGGAATCTGGATGCCACAGGAACTAAAGAACAAAGAGAGATAGGTCGGCTGTCTTTATCTCTTTTTTCTTCGAAATGAGTTGCTTTTTCACGCTCCACTGTTTACTTTTGTTTGGAGAAAATCTAGAGAGAGAGAGAGTTTTTGAATTTCTACGGCGTGGGTCGGATTAATCCCCACATTGAAGAGATGTATAGATTTTCAGGTAAGAAAATTGCCTGTCCGGTCCAAATCCAGTTCTCAGGATCTTAAGTATCCTTTGCGATATGGGTCGGGGTGCTACAAATTTGGACTCGTAAGGTACGGGTCCACAAGTAAAATTTGGGTTCTGTGTGCGGGTCTGAGTCCAATAAGATCCGACCTATGCCCCACCCGTTGCCGCCTAATCGATTTTTTAAATAGTGATTATTTGCTCCATTTTCTAGATGCCTCAGGCAAGCCTCAATTTTTTATACTGTCTTTCTGGACAGAGAGAGCACTCAATTTTTTATAATGTTTTTCTCGACGACAAAAGGAGAGAGCAGTGATCCCACAAGGAATCAAAACAGAATGGGATTGGACCTGCTGCCTAGAGAGAGAGTGCTATTTTGTAATCTATATTTTAGTGACAAAAACGTGCCAAGATTACAGTGGGTGAGGTTCTGTCTGGTAAAGGTTACTGTCAAGGGAAAACAAGACAGAACGGGATTTCAATGGAAACCGTGGAATCTAATGATGAGTCCTAACATGCAACACATAAATAAACCACCCAAGCAAGTGAGAGAGAGAATAAGAATGGAGTTGGGCGACTTTCCCTTGGTTACTGCAATCATTGCCATTCTCATACCTTTACTTTTATGGCTCTTTTCGATCATCAATGACTGGAGGTATTGCAGAGGATTAGAGAAAGAAAGAGATGGTCACAGGGTGCCCCCTGGTTCAATGGGCTGGCCTGTTATTGGGGAGCTTCTTGATTTCTTATGGTGCTTCAAATTCACAAGAAGGCCTGATGACTTCATAGCCAAAAGAAAATCGAGGTAAATTTGAGTTCAATCTCTACAAAGAAAAATATGGGCAAAGATTATTGCGTGCCCTAAAAGGATTTTGGAGAATAAATAAATGGGTTTGCGCTTTTTTCTTTTGGAACTGGGTTTAGAGAGTTAAACCACTACATGAATCTTTTGTGGCAATTTGAATGGAACTAGATCGAGAATTTCTTTTTTTTTCTTATCTTTTTTTTTTGTGAACTTTTCAATTTGGAACGGTGATATAAATGTTTTTTTTTTTGGTTATTTTCATTTGTTTACTTTGAATATGGGGTTTTCAGAATCTACAAGCTTTCATTTTGATGATTTCCTGATATTTTCAACGATTTATGAGGATAAGCCACCAAAGATGCACAGAGAACGAAATATATCTGAATTTATTCCTCTGAGACAGCTTCAGCTGTAGCTATTTGTAATTTTACTGATCTACGAAATGGTTTTCATTGAAATAAACCCATCTTGTTTTAGATACTTTAAGAGGCATTTTAGTAGATCATAAAATCAAGGCTTATTGGCTATATCTCGAGGTTGGGGTTGCCTTTCAGTTTTTTTGTTGTTGCTATGGTAGTCGAGCGCTTCATCTGTGGGTTTCTTAAGCTATTCCAGGCACACCTGCTAATTAACAATGAGGACAAGAAGAAACCCATGAAGAAGAAAACAGAGATATTGGTCTTTTCCTGTACTTGTTCACCATTTATTAATGAATGCAAATAATGAATTCAAATTAGATAGAAAGAATTATGGAGGATTTAAACTAAGATGGAAACAAACCACTAGAAGAAGAAGAATAAGAAGTGCTGGTCGTTTTATACTTAAAAAACTGGACTACATACACTGGAGCTCTTGACACTTTGAAACTGTCAAAGCATGATATTTGAGTTCAATTATCTTTAGTTTCCAACTTCATGTTTTGACTTACACTTGTTTACAGGCATGGTGATAGTGGAATTTTCAGGACCCATTTATTTGGGCAACCTTCAATTGTTACGTGCTCACCAGAGATGAACAAATTCGTGCTCGGTAGAGGGACTGAAGATGGGAGTTTCGGTCCGGGATGGCCCTCATCTCAACTATTGGGAGCCTCATCTATTACAATGAAAGATGGGTTAAGCCATAAAAGGCTGAAAAGATATTTCATGGATGCTTTTAACAGCCCAAGAGCCCTATCTAGCCTGCTGACTAATGCACAGCCCACTTTCGTAGAGTTCATGGAGAATTGGGTTTCAAAAGGGAGGATTTCTGCATTTGAAGAGACCAGAGCTGTAAGTTAAATAAAAAACAATGAAAACTACGACGCATTATTTAGACAACCGAGCATGGCCTGGTTCTAACGTATTTGGTTGTCTACCACTAGTTTCTGCTTTGTTAAATTTAACCATTTTGGATATGGTCATGGTCCCTTTGTTCATAATCCTCTCAATCTCTCGGTGATCGTATCCATGAAGCACCGATTCATTGTCCTCTGGAATGATTTTGAAGTCTGTAACAGCTCTATTGGGATTTGGGATATCTATATACCTCATCCTGTCGAGATTTTAACACCAATGCCTTTCCTAATTTGCTTGGGATCTGAGCATTTACCTATGAACTCAATGGTTATCTGTGTCTCTTGGTTGATAGAACCTTCTTAAACATCATATTGAAGTGTGGGTGCTCGATGGTAGTTCCTTCTGATAATCCACCCTCTTCTTTTTAACCGAATTAGGCACTGGCGATATTCCCTCCTATGCCAGCTTGCCTCTGTGTGTGTGTGTGTATGCATGTGTGTGTTCGCGCTTGTGTGTGCACGAGTGCGCAAGTGTGTGTGAGGCAGGGAGGGAGATCCTCTGTTGGAAGTAGCTTTTCACCTGTTACCTTAATACAAATTAGTTTATTCCTTTGATAATCAAGGTTATATAAACATTTGTGCAGGTAACATTTGCAAACATATGTGACATACTAGCAAGCTTCAAGGAAAAGACCCTCTTATGCACCATGGAAAGGTTCTACACAGGACTCATGGCCGGATTACGAGCAATGCCGCTTAACTTCCCCGGAACATCATTCCACCATGCTCTCAAGGTGTGCCTTAAATAAATTTTAATGACCAGAATTCTCTCATTAAGTTATGGATTACTTTTTCTCTAATAAGGCTTTATATAATCTCCTGCAGTGTAGGAAGAAACTCACTGACATTTTACTTAAAGAAATAAAGGAAAGGAAAGAGAAAAGCATCCATAAGACAGACTTCATGCAGGTTTTATTAGATTCTACTGATGAGAATGGAGAATATTTGAGTGAACAAGAGATTGTAGACAACACTGTCTCATTCATTCTGGGTGGTTACGAATCTACCTCAAATGTGATGACATGGGCTCTTTACTACTTGGCGAAATATCCCACTATCATGCAAAAGCTCAAGGTCCCTTTTCAAACTATTTCTTTTGGTCTGAAAGCTAAGACATGATTCCACTATCTAATGGTGGTTATCATTTTTATTGTATTGCATTCTCTTAATCGTCGTCTAAGGTTCCCAATATTTGAGCACAATCATGAACTTTATTTTTACAACAGCTGGATTTATTTTGCTTGATTTTGTTCATAGGATGAAACGTTGTCAATCCGGGGAAAGAAACCCAAGAATGGTCTTCTCTCAATGGAAGACCTAAAGGCAATGAAGTATACCACCAAGGTGATGCTGTTCTCTTTCGTTAAAAAATTCTTGGTTGTCAACAAATCTATATGTCTATGATCAATGGTTAAACCATGTTCTTTTTTGAGAAGCTTTGGTCTTCTAACTTAGGTAGCTGACGAAGTAATCCGCCTTGCAAATATCTCCCCCTTTATATTCAGGAGAGTTTTGAAGGATGGTATTGTTTTTAACGGTGAGAGTTATACAGTTTATGTTGTGGGGAGAATGCTTTTTGGTTTCTTTATTTGTTTTTTGACCAGTTTCTTTTTTAATGATGACGAAATTTGTTGTTTGAGCAATAACAGGGTACACGTTTCCTAAGGATTGGAGAATTCTTGTTTGGATTCGATCAAATCACATTGATTCTGAATATTTTGATGATCCATTAACATTTAATCCAAATAGATGGGATGTAAGTTACTTCCTACAATTATCCAGACAATATGTGTGTGTGTGTGTGTGTGTATGTATGTGTCATTTAGTTACTGGTTTTTTATTGCAGAATTTTAAGCCCAAACCAGGAACACATAATGTTTTTGGACATGGTCCTAGATATTGTCCTGGTAACAATTTCGCAAAGCTTCAAGTAATGATGTTTCTGTATTATGCCTCTTCTAAGTACAGGTAATCGACCTCACAGTCCTGAATGATATCCTGAAATGGCTAATTGCATTGGTATCCCTCCTTCTCTCTTAAAGAAAGGCTACAAAAACTTATATTCTGTATTATGAATCCTTTAGTAAGCAGCAAACGATTTTGTTATCACTGTACTACTAGTCGTGAGGGGAAAAATTTATGATTACATTTATTTTATAGGAATTTAAGATGAAGGAAGATGATGACCTTGCATATGGTTCTGTGTATGTAGCCTATTTAATTATTATGATATCATCAAATCAAAGGCTTAATTTAAATTGAGTTAAAATTGTATTTCTCTTTTAAAAAATGAGCTTCTTTCATATTGAAAAAGACTATTCAAGTGTCATCATCATGGAAAGGTTTGGTAAAGTTTTATTTTGGCTACCTACCTGACACAACCTACCTCCTTTACTCAGGTTTGGGATGGTTCAACGGAAAATTTAATGTGTCCTCACCCTTCTTAGACCAGGAAAGAACTATTCATGTGTGCATCTGTTATCCATAGGCCATATGTACTTGATTATGATTGTAAACTTGTCGCAAATTGAAAGGCCTAAATATTATTTCACTTCATATGAGGTGGCAATACAATAACATGTTGCTCATGCATATTCCATTGTTTAAATTGTTTTTCTTCTAATGTGCCAATTAGATAACCACTAAATATGGGTGTGTGAACAGGTGGGAGCTCATAAATCCTAATGCAGGAATAACATTTCTACCTCACCCAAAGCCAGATGATGGGGTAGAGATATTTTTCAGCCATGCTTTATGAATAACTGATTCACAAGAGGTCTACTTCTTTATAGTCGTATATTTGAATGGTGTTTGTATACAGGCCTATTTTACCATGTACCATTAGAATGGTGAGCCTAGAATTGTATATTCCAATTCATGTATGGCCTTAATAGAGTAGAAAGGCATATCTGGATTCGTGTAGCTTACTCCAATTAGTTGGGAAAAGGATTTGACGATTAGTGTAGCCGACTCCAATTAGTTGGGAAAAGGATTTGATGATGATGATTATTATACCTATATGTTACAATGCATTTACCAGTTTGGATATTTCCATCATTTATCAAGTGCATTGATGTAATTAACAAATGTGAGGTAATCTGTTCTTCACCAAGAGAAAATGCTCTTAGTTCCAAAAAGAAAAAGAAAATCCTTACCCTCCTTTTGCAGCCACTTTTCCGTGTTTGTATATTCATCATTTGCTGTGGCATTTTGATCATGTAAAATTTGGCGTGCATGGAAATGCATAACATGCCTGCTGACCATGAATTGTTAGAATATTGTATTTGCAATTGTGCCAAAAAAAGGATGAAAAACCAAAGTGACTAAAGAAGGTATCAGCACGAAAGATAATTCACGAAACCACTTTCTTTGTTGTCATTAAGTATAACTGCCTTACTACCCTTATTACCTAGGCCTTACATCTTTGTGTTTGAAAGATCTCTTCTACAAGAATTTATCTTAGGATCTTGTGAAGATCTGAAAATTGTTTGATGTTTGTATTAGTAAAAGTTTTTTCTCAAATGGTGATTTGTGTGATCCCAAACTTAGGAAGATTGTATGTTGAAAATTAAAGTTGTTCTTTATCCAATTTCTGGTGTTTTGTTTTCTCAACTGAGGAGTGAGATTCCGACCGTTCTGGTGTTTTGTTTTCTCAACTGAGTAGTGAGATTCCTGTTTGTTGGTTTGTATGCTTATGTTTTTATTTCTGTGTCTCTTCAACACGTGAACTAAGTAGAAATCTTGTTCATCACTTGATCATACATCTAGGATTGGAATTTATTGCAAAAACAACGGATTGAAATGATTTATACTGTTTTGGAGGATATTAATTTTCCTTCAAAATCTCAATTAAGGTTATGGACAGGCCTTTGACCACACATGATTGAGACGATGTCTCTATAGTCTGCTTTAGTCCTTGAGTTGCCAATAACTGTAATCTACTTTGCAGTTTTATGTATCCAGTGAAGTTTGCCGGGTGGTTTCTTTATGTTCAGCACTTGAAACCTTGTAGTGATATTATTTGTAATCTTAAGTAAAGATGTTAGTTTCTACCTATTATTAATTGTCTTAGTAATCGAAGTAAAAGATGTTAGTGTCTACCTATTGTTAATTATCTTAGTAATCTAAGTAAAATATGTTAGTGTCTACCTATTATTAATTATCTAAATCTTCCATATTAGTTTAAAAATCCGTTTCATTCAGCTTAAGTTGCCTGCCTTCTGGGGGTGGCCAACTCAAAATGAGCAGCTCGGCAACTGTTTTCAGTTTAGTTTTTTCTCGTGACTCGATTTGCTGGGTCGTATCGTTCTGTCACAATCTGACTTCCAAGTGTTTATGGTTCGAGCTTCAAAGTTTGTACCTGTGTGTGCAAAGACAGCTAAAATAAGACCAGCTGAGCTCCATAAACTCATTCTCCAAGCTTTCAGGGAGAGAGAGAGATCACAGATGTGGCGAATGTTATTCACATGAGTGCCGCTGGGAATTTAAAGAGTTTCCAAAAGAAACACACTTCAAATAATATGGATTCAGGTCACTTTTTTTAGGAGCTTTAGGAATTGGATAAATGCACCCAGTTTTACAAGGAAGGAGGTTCAAAATAAGCATGACAGTGTTCAATGAGTCAACTACTTAAAGATTAGTGCTTACACGAGAGAAAAGAAACACACTTCAAATAATATGGATCAAGGGACACCTCAATCTAAAGAGGATTTTCTCTTCATTTCCCAACATAAGGTTTTTATGATTTGAGATGCACCTATTTAAATTGAGTCCTCTTTTCAAAATCTATTTTAGATTTTGATTTAGATAAAAAATTTGAGAATTGAAAATCTCAACTACAATGAACATGAATATGAAAAAAATAAACTAATTCTAAAATTGAAAATGGTATTTTTAATATAATTGTAATATCATAAATTTTCTGTTTGGTGGGGCATCATTTTTTGACATCCACCTAGAAGATGGATGTTCAATGCATCAGAGGTGCTATGGTCCAAGTGCATCCCCTGATGCACAAAATAGTTTGCCTTCAATGAAATCAATCAACATCCTATTTCGTTAAACACCTTTTGGGTATTAGTCCTTTTAATAATATTCCACAACTTCCAGGAAACCCTAATGGCCCAAATGACCAAGCCACCTTTTCTTGATTTTTGAATGAACTTTTCCGATGTTCCCCTAAATCCAAAACGAAAAGGTTTATAAAAGGTTGCAACTTATACTATTGAACTAAAGTGCACCTAAAAAATCCTAAAGAAGAAAGTGTTCTGGCAATGGAGAACTTTTAAATTGATCATCTCGACCTCATGATGTATGGACATTAAGAAATAAAAAAAATAGTACATTTGGTAACAAGTTATCCAGATTGTCTATTTTTAAGATTTTTAACTTTTTATTGATAAGTTCGACCTGTACTATTTTTGATATATTGAATTTTATAAATAAAGATGAAAATAAATTTTCAAGTCATCATAAGGTTTTCGATACCAAAATGACATCTCTAAAATTTTTTTTCGAGGTGTGCCTTAGTTTTAGTTCTACCATATGAGTAGGCAACCTTATGCAAAACCTCACCTATCTAAAATATTTATTTATTTGTTTCTTGAATTTTGGCAAAGAGACCTTCCATCATTCGTCCATCATCAAAGCACAAACCATTTCTTTCCATCTTCAAATTCTCCTTTTATTCTTGGTACTCGTTTTAAAATTGGTTAGGGAACTAGCTCTGGTCCACTGTTTCGTTTTTTTTTTTTTGATAAACAGTTATTTAATTTTTTAAAATTTCAAGATTACAATCAAAGAAAAATAACTGAATAATTACATTGATCCAAAATTAACCACCCCAACCGAAAGAAAAACCCCACCCTAAGCCAAATTATCAACTTTAGAAAACAAGGTGAAAATTATATGCAATGACTTAGAAATATTCATTATCTAACGTGTGCCACATACGGGGCGGTTCTGTTGGGTGTACTTTTAGTTACATGTGAGACTAGGTACATTTTGACAGACGCTTAATAAGGTTGAAGGAGTGGTTATAAAGCCAAGTCTTTAACAGATGCCGATTAAATGACTTGATAGATAGTGGATAAGATATATGAGCCTAATAAACTTAAAGATATGCCTTGGTTGTTGAATATGCTCTTAGTTACCATATGAGACTAAGTAAGTTCTAATCGACGCTTGATGGAAAGGTGAAGTCCTTGATAGATGCTGGATGACTATCTTAATAGACAGTAGATAAGATAAAACCTGGTTCTTGATAGTACCTACCAAAATATGCCTTTGAAATGATATGAAGATATGAGAGATATGATATAACGAGGACTAATCATATGCAGGTCTCAATATGCCTTTTAAGTTTTGATATGTCAATTAGCCCCTATATGTCTCGACTTATGATTGATAATAGTAGAGGGCATAAGACCATCTCAATATGAGACAACTTCTAGGATATATATACTTTTAAATGCCTCTTTACAAGATATTGAAGATATTTGATGTAATACCAATCAGATGTCAATCAGGTACGCTCGTTTTGACAAACGGTTGATGATAGAATATATTAAAGTCAGCTCAATATGAGACAAATTCTAGGATATGTATACTTCTAAGGCCTCAATATTCCTCTCCATATGCTAGGTGGAGGAATCTGATGTGGTATGATATATTTTTCTAACCCATCGTCGTCACACATGTACATCGTGACTAACACTTTATGATAAGAGATCATCATGATGTTTCAATTTGAGACAAAACACTGAGATACATATACTCCTATGACGTATATATGCTTCTCCAAATGATATTGAAGGAGTTTTGATGAGATGCAATATGTTTCTTTTAATCCATCGTCAGTTAAAGAAATGATGCATAATAGACAGAGCATAAGGAAACCTCACCATATGATGTCATGATGAGGTGTATCCTTGAAGATATATATATCATGAGGCTTCATATGCCTCTAACTCCAAGAATTATACAAATTGGGCAATATTTAGAGTTGGCTTAGCCCAACGTCCATATGCATTGTCAATTAAGATATGCTTTGACCGACGTATACCATGAGGGGCGGACGAGCTAATTTTCGCACAAAAAAACGTTTTTTTTTTTTCTTCAAAATAGAAAAAAAAAATCATAATCCTTTTCAAGGGCACTTTAGAAAAAAAAGAAAAAAAAAGAAAAAGAAAAAAAAAAAAAAAGCTGTCGCAGCGACTTCTCTTTAAAAAAAAAAAAAATTCTATTTCCTTGGAGAAACCTTGACTTCATCTCTCTTTTAACTTAGATTCTTTTATTTTCTCCACAACATTTGCTTTTCTTCCAGTGAATGTTTGTTCCGGTCTTCGGGTGTGCATGTTTGTTCTTGTAGATCGGCCTCGTTTTCTTTCTAAACCCAGGGCTTTGGAAACCTATATTACAAAGCACGTCTTGTTACAAGGCCATAACCTGATGGACCTCCATATCTGTTATTAGAAAGTGATATTTCACCTATAAGATGCTTAAACGATATCTTTTTAATCGCTTTAATGCCAGATTTAGATTCGATCTTTCAGAGGGACTGTTTTGGAGCTTATTTTCAGCACATTTTTTTGTAATTTCAATTGGTCTTTGGGGTGATTGAAATATCTCATTGTTATTAGATCTAAAAAGTTCTATTAATGATACTTTTGTGGGAGGTCACCCTAATGGTTTGGCCGACTGCCTAATATAGATCTTTGTTCATGTAAGGTTTTTGTTTGCATAATTTGGATGTACGCTTTAAAAAGAAAAATATTTTGTTTTTAGCGATAGAACTTTTGGCCCATCTCTTTACCTTCTTCTAAAGACAAAAATTAAAATAAAAATAAAAAATAGAAATAGAAATAAAAGCTTGTTGCTTTGTTTGAACCTTGCTTATAGTCTAGCATCCTTTGTTTGATTCTCCTCTCAAAAGTTTGCTTCTGCAAAACAAAGAAAAAAAAAAAAACCACTTTATAACAAAAAAAAAAAAAAAGATTTCTTTGAAGGTTCTTTTTGTTAAAAAAAAAAAACACAATTTTGCTTAAAAGGAAATCAATAA